GAAATATAAAAGATGATAATCGAATACTCAAAAGCCCTCTTGTATTAAGTAATTGAGAGATTACACAATAAACTTCTCGAACGATACGTCGGAATAGTGACTAATACAAGAAATCAGAGAGAAAAATCTATTCTAGGTTTTAAGTATAAAGAAGCTAACCCTTTACAATGAAATTAATCCTTCTATTTATACTAATGGGGGTATGGGGTGCTTCATGTTGATTGGTTGCTTTATCTAGCCACTTGAAAACTACTTCCACTTGGTGCCGCCATACTTTAACAATAAATGCTCTCTGCCACTTGTTGCTACTCGTTGCCCGAACGGATAGTGGGCCCTGCTGGAATCATCATTGATTTGGCCCAAGTACGTTGGTTGACCCGAACCCCGTTCGGCACATATTTCTCCATGATCTTGTTCATCTTCTGGATTCTGGGCCCGTTTATCGGACTGGATATATTGGGCCTTGGATTCGGGTATTGGGCCTGCGGCCCAATATCCCAACATGAGTCCCCCACTTCCGATGTCTCGAACGGTAGTGAGTGCATTGGGAAGTAGAACTTTACACGCCGAATGGCGATCGAGCTCAAGAATTCGCTGGTTCCCCATGCCATGATTAGTACCTTTCTTGTGACTGTCGTTTGATTTTTTCCATAATCGTCATGATTACTGGCCCTTGATTTCCTGTGCGACACGTGTCCTTTCAAATAATCCAGGTGACGTGTCTTCTTCTGATTGGTTATTGATTCGGCGCTTGTCAGGCTATAAATGGGCCTTGAAATCCTTGGATAAGGGTTTCGAATTCTTATTTCCTTCGAGCCCTTGTTCTGCCTTCTCTCCAGCTTCTTCAAGTTTTTTCTGAGTTCAGGTATTCTTCGTTCCTTACCTTTACTCCTCCACTTTTCTGCCTCGATCGATATGTGTCCTCGACCCTGTTCCTCTTATTCAGGAACGGCATCCCAAGGGGAAAATCAAGATGCCGCTGTAGTGGACGTCATACTCGTCCCCTTTGCCGAAGGCACTAGTGAGGCGGTGGAAGAAAATAGGGTGGAGGCAGAGGATTCTGCCGCCGGTTCTTCTTCTACCGATGATGATTCCGACGGTACACAATCCGGTGACGAACTTGCTTCCATGGATGCTAGACCCCCAGGCGACGTTCCTCGTTACAAGATTGACCTAAGGCCAATTAGGGAAAGGTGGCAGAAGCTGACTTCTCATAATAGGACCCGTTGCCCGAACGGGTAGTGGGCCCTGCTGGAATCATCATTGATTTGGCCCAAGTACGTTGGTTGACCCGAACCCCATTCGACACATATTTCTCCATGATCCTGTTCATCTTCTGGATTTTGGGCCCGTTTATCGGACTGGATATATTGGGTCTTGGATTTGGGTATTGGGTCTGTGGCCCAATATCCCAACAGTGTCAATTCAGCAACTTCAACTAGAATTTCACCAATCTCAACATATTCGACACACATTTGAATGTTACTAAAATGGTTGGTAGTATTGGGATGCTAAATTGGTTAGTAAAAGAATTGTTGAAGTCAATTACCAATTACCAAACATACTATAAGTGTGAATATATTGCCAATGAGAATACTTATGCACCACATTGTCTATGCGTCTAGGCCGTATAGTGAGGTAAAATATATCCTACAATCGGCTGTATCGTGCGCATTGTACAATCGGCCTTTTTTTTTTTGCTTTTGCGCTTCTTCGCTTTGTACCAGAAGAACGATCCATCTTTGCACCAAGCTTCGCACCAGAATTCTCCAATATCGATCACTTACTTCTTCGATCTGGGTTCGCACTTGGTTGATTGTCGCCAACGCTCACCACTCGTCCCCTTCTCCTCCATCTTGTTGCTTGTTGCTCGTCGGTGCCGCTCGTCCCCTTCTCCTACAGCACGGATGCAGCTGCTCTGCCGGCATAGTTACGTCTCCTCCCTCTGGCTTTCTTTTCCCTCTTTTCCTTTTTCTCTTTTTCTTACATAGTATTACCGTTTGAGATTGTGATTTTAGGAGATAAGGGAAGTCTACTAGTTGCTGAGGAATCCTTACTGCTATTGATCTCAAATGGGTGTTATATTAAACTCAAATGAATATACGCATAAAAGAAATGAACATACACAAATAAATATTGAGCAAATTAGAATGAGGTTTATGTTAAACTCAAATGAGTGTAACGCCCAAAATCAAAGAACATACACAAAAAAGCTTTTAAATTTTTTGATACTCATTTTATGGGTTGTGTATGCTCATTTGGCACTGCTTTAAAATGTTGCACATTTCAAACATATCATACTACATTAGATTCACATATTCAAATTAATTGAAATTGATTATAGACATAATTTAGAAGTTTTTTATAAATGAAGAAACAATAAAAAGAAAGTAAGTTAGAATATAATTCATATGAAACAGAGATCACTAATGTCTAATGCCCACCAAAATTACATCAATGCTCATTTAAGAGAAGTCATTATTTTTCCCACAATTACAAAATTGTCACCGACTGTACGGTGCCGGGCATACATCTGGTTGTATGGTATACGCTTCCGTCTAATGATGGACCGGTTAATACAGAGTAATACCTATCCAGGGGAACTTTTATTTATAATACGGAGTATGAAGTATAAACTTTAATAACTAATCATATACTCCCTTTATTCCAAATTTTAAGTTTAGAAATTGTCCAATATAAAACCAATATATACTCAAAGTGAAAAAATAGGACTAAATCTGTTTTGCTTTTCAAATAGGACTTATTTGGTCCTATTTAAAAAATAAGTTAGGATGTTTTTATTTGGACGGTTTTCAGTCTGAATACCAGACCAGACCAGAGTTACACAGCCCAGACCAGACTTAAACACACCAGATCAGATCAGCAAATTACAGTCCAAGTAAAAACATCCTTAATCAAAACTTCCCAAAATAGGAGTGAATGAGTCTTATTTGGGAAATAAAACAATGATGATCCTATTTATGAACATTACCAATGTTTTAGTCCTATTTAGAGAATTTTCATTTAAGTTGTAAAGTTGATTGTTTTGGTCACAGATTCATTTAATTCACTTAATTCGGATATCAATTCTTGATAATTTTTTAAGTTGGATTTTGCAATTTATTGGAGAGTTTAATGTAATTTCTAAATGTGTAAATTTTAATTATATATTCAAATTGAATTAATTATAAATAGGGAAGTTTGAACTTAAACATTGATTGACAAAAAAATTGACTTTGCAAAACAATTTAAGACGGAGGCAGTACATAAAATTTGATAAAACATTTACCAACTACGGAGTAAATAGTACTATATCAGTACATGTATTTTAAAATTATAGCATACTACCTCCATCCTACTAACATTGCAACATGAGGAGCTGACACAATTATTATTAAAAGTAGATTTATGTAGTTCATATTAAATTGATAAGTAAGAATTATTTAGAACAACTTAGGTTTTATCAAAATTGATATGAGACAACTTTATCGGGGCTCAGTGAGTATTTATTGTATTTTATATTCGTATTAGTGCAATGGGCGAAAGAAAAGTGTTGAGGAAAAAAAGTTTGCATTTTTCTTTTATAAATGTCCCCAAAAAGTTGACATTCTTATATAAGGAAATTAATTTTAACCAAAAAGTCACAACAACTCTTACTTTTTACTCACTTTTTGTCGGGATAAAAAATCAATGTTGTCACAATTCATTAGAGCAGGACGAGAAGAGTACAACGTAACATAATGGATATGATACATACTACTCCAGCTGTACTAACATACTCCCTCCGTCCCTAAAAATCTTTCTCACTTTCCTTTTTGCACCGTTCCAAAAAATTCTTCTCACTTACCATTTTTGGACAATTTGTGTGGTTCACAGTCATTTCACTTTTTTCTTACACAGCCGCAATCATACATTTCCACTTTATTTCACTTTCTTAATAAGCGTGTCACTTTCACTAAAATCTTACGTCTCCTAAAAATGACATGTAGGTAGTACTCCATCTCTTTTTTCTAATACGATGACATAGGACGTTAGGACGTGTATCGATGCATGAATTGATTACTATTTTGTGTTTTCTTTTTCTTATCTCGATAATTCATGTGTTTGGTCATATTTTGAAAAAGAATTATGCTAAATTATGTTTTTTTGGAACAAAATGGCTTTATATTGATATCAAAGCATTCCGCAAGGAAACAAGAAAGTAAAAGGACAATTTCTAATCACCGACCCTCGAACCAGACTTAGAGACAATCACCCAGAATAAAGCAATATGGCTCGCTGATCGTATAATGGGTCTAAATGAGCCTAAAGTGATTAGAGCTAGTAAACCTCTCACTACCCCAACCTAATGCAAGAGTCTGACAAAAATAAACGTACATCACCAACACCTCTTCGTCTTCTTTCACCCGTACGAGCCCGCCACTCGAGCCCTCGCTGCCAATCCCAAGCGCATCCTAGAAGCCTTGAAGACGCACCAGCTCCTTCACTCTCAAGCAACGCACCTTGATTTCCATCAAGAACACAATCGAAGCCGCCGATCTAGCCGCAGAAATCCCCTCCGGACAAGCCGCGCCGCCGGAACAAACACCTAGGAGGACCCTAGAGACGACCACTTTTCATCCTTGAGGAAGCCCAAAGGATGTTCTCAATATTGCTCGAGATTGCTACTCTGCTCACCGCCTGCGCCTGCAACGTCCGCCGTCTGCAACGCCCACCGCTGAGCGGCCTGCGTCGTTCACACGCCTGCGCCGTTCGCCTCTTAGGGTTTCACACACACAGATCGGATAACAATGATTTTTTTTTTGTAATTATGGTACAATTCATAAACGTTTTTTATGCCAAATTATGTTTTGAAAATTGTCATTAAAATATGCGTTTGGTCATATTTTATTGGTTTCTAGTACGACTTTGTACATGGAGAATCCAATTCACATACATCAAGCTCAAACATAATTGTAGGGACGGATATATCAAATTAACTACAAATATTTGTAACAAAAAGATATTTAAACTAAGCTCCTTTATTATATTTTCTGATACACCACAAAGAATTCATTGTCGATATGGTTATTAATACGTATTAAAATTGTAAAACAAAAATGTGCCTTCTGAATATGAATATAATTTGTTGTTCAATTCTATCCGACCATTGGGACATTGGTCACATTATTTGTGGGGTGATATTGAACACAAAGGACGACCCGATTGCAACACCGATCCCCCATATACGGGCACTTTTCGTAATCATTAATCGTCACCACCGTCACATACGAATTCGTCTGCTCAATGGTCACCCTCGCAATTGTTTCATCAACTCCGACCAAGTCCGGCCACTCCACCGCCGCCTCCGCCGGGAATCTTCCCTTGCACCCAATCCCTACGCAGTCACACTTATCGCAAGGCGGGTATGGTTTTCTTTCATAGGCGGCGGCGGCGGCCAGACCGACCAGCAGAAACGCCAAAATTGTTGCTTTCAAAAACATTTTCAATAACCACACACGTGATCTCTTAGGTTCTTGTGATTTTGGTTTTAAATGTTGAAGACTTTGCCCCCCTCCTCTCTTGCTTTTATAGCGATCATTATTTTCTTATTCGGTGCGTAATTAATTTTCCCTCTGTATATAGTTTAATTATAGACTTATAGTAAATGGTTTACCCAAAAAATAGTAATATATAGTCACTTGATCACTTTTGGAATTAAAATGAATAAAAATTGATTTTTTATAATGTATATTCATATTCCCTATAAGAATTCTATGTACATCTTCGGTCCTTAAGAACATTGCATTTTTAATTTAGGTAAAACAAAAAAAAACTACTTAATTTTTTACGAATTTTATGTAATTTCTATTCCAGTACGTGCAACTGTTTTTGAATTTCACCTCTAAAATGAGTTTTTTAGGACCATTTAGTAATTTCTATTTTCAACTCATCAATCAATTTTTTTACTAAACATGTAACTTGAAATGGGTAAATAATATATATAGTTATATTCTCAATTTATAAAAATAATGTCTTGTTCATTGGATATAGCTACGTGAATTGAAGATTATAATGTATTATACGGAGTACATATATACAGTATATTAAAAACAAAAAACATTAGTCACGGACCAGATCCGTGACTACGTTTTATCCGGAATAAATTCAATTTTTTTAAATTTAACATAATCACGGATACGTCCGTGACTACCACAAAAAAAAATTAAATTAAACTTAGTCACGGCTCGTGTCCGTGACTAACATAAAAAAATTTAAATTAGAAGTAGTCACGGATCCGGTCCGTGACTAACGTGCCGGAGGGTCAAATACAACTCGAGTTACATATTTTTCCACGTAAAGTTACATATTTATACACGCGAGTTACATATTTATACACACGAGTTGTATTTGACCTGTCTGAACGTGAGTTACATATTTTTACACGTAAAGTTACATATTTATACACGTGAGTTACATATTTATACACACGAGTTGTATTTGACCTGTCTGAACGCGAGTTACATATTTTTACACGTAAAGTTACATATTTTTACACGTAGAGTTACATATTTATACACACGAGTTGCATTTGGCCTGACTGGACGTGAGTTACATATTTCTACACATAAACTTACATATTTTACATAGGTTAATATAATAGTTCGATAATATGTTAAAATTTCATAGGCAATATTGGTCTCATTTGAAAAATCATGAAAAATAAAAAATGTTGATATAAATTTTATAAAAATTGGATCAAAAATAAAAAAGTTATTACCATTTTTTAAAAAAAGAGAAAAAATAATATCCAATGGGTGTATGGTGCTCACCATGCACTGGTTGCACGACGCACTCGTGTTTGTGTGTGTGTTTGTGTGTATACTCCTATTAAATATGCATTATATTTGGATTCGATTTTTACTATTTAATTGAAATTTTAGAGTAAATATGTAGATTTTAATCATTACTTTAACGAGAGAATTCCCTAAATAAGAGTATAAAAGTTTTGAAATTCCAAAATAGGAGTATCATGTTTTTTATTCCTTGAATAAGAGTAAATTTCTGCCAAGTTTGGCATTACTAGGCTTTAAAACATGACATTTTTTCCAAACTTGTCAGATTACTCCTATTCAGGGAATAAAAAACATGATACTCCTATTTCGGAATTTCAAAACATTTTTGCTCCTATTTAGGGCAATCTATTACAAACCTAAAAATTAGGAAGAATCAAACTAGAATTAACATTGCCAAGTGTTGAATATTGTAAATCAAAACAGTTGGCTTAACATGGACTTCATTTTGACTACGACTGGTGCAAATCGCAATATGTCTTGACCCACATGGCATTGCACTATATGCAGTCAATGCAAGATTCGTAATGTTATCTATAAGACTATAAGATTTTTTCTAGTGTTGGGCCGTTGGCTAATACTCCGGGCAGATCGATTATAATATGTGCATTTCTAAGCAACAAAGTGCTTTTATTCCAAACAGATCGATTATAAATATTATCATTGCTTTTGAGTCACAATATTATTTAAAACGCAAAACACAAGGTTTTACGGGTTTGTTAGATTAAAATTAGATAGGAGTAAGGCATATGACATGGTATGTTGATTCATTTGGGTTTTGCTGAACGGTGGATTAGATTGATTATGGAATGTCTGACTTCAATTTCATACTCAATTCCATTTGATGATAATGAATTAGGACCTATTCTGCCTACACGTGGATTGAGACAGGGTCATCCTTTGTCACCATATTTATTTATTTTGGTTGCATAAGGTTTGATTGTCTTATTAAAAAATCATGAAGGTTAATTTTAACCGTTAAGGAGACACTAGAGGACTATGCTTTAACATTGGGTCAGGTAGTTAATTTTAGCTCTAATGTCCCGATTGATTGTAGAGAAGGTTAAAAAGAGCTTTTGGGGGTGGGTCTGGTAGGAGATGAGGAGCGGTATTTGGGTTTACCGGCCATTGTAGGACAAAATAAAAAAGCTATTTTAGTTTATCTTCGTCAACGAATGATTAACCGGATCCAAAATTGAAATAACCGCTTTTTATCTAAGACTGGAAGAGAAGTTCTTTTAAAATGGGCTATTCAAGTCATGCTAATATATGCAATGAATGTTTCTCTTTTGCCTAAGGAACTCTGTAAGGAGATTGAAACACTGATGAACGGTTATTGGTGGCAAGGGGAGTCCGGTGGAGGTCTTGAGATTTTATGTGTCGCCCTAAAAAAGTGGGAGGTTTAGGTTTTTAAGAAGCTTAGGGAGTTCAATGTTGCTATGTTAGCTAAACAAGTCTGGAATTTTTTTTCAGAACCAAAGTCTTTTGTTGAGAAAGTTTTCAAAATCGGGTATTTTAGAGATGGGAATTTTCTAACAGCCAAACTCGGCAATAATCCTTCTTTTGTGTGACAGAGTATTTTTCAGACGCATGATATTATCAAAAGAGGATATTACTGGCGAGAGAATCTTGGGTCTGGAGAGAATCTTGGCTTCCGTATAGGAGTCATCCCACTGGGGTCTTTTGTGCAATGATGGAAGAAGTTGACATCTAGATTTACTTAGGGTATGTTTGGGAGTTTGGAAGGAAGGGAGGGGAAGATTTTGGAAGTATCTTGTTGGAGGGGAAAGGGAGGGAAGGGTGAAGAAGCCTTCTTTGTATTTGGGAGTAATAAAATTGGAAGGAGAATGTTTCTGAAGGAATTATAATTAAAATCAATTTGAGATATGACGAATTCAAATCATTGAGCTGATATTCATTTCTAATTTAGCTTAAATTATCATCTTGTTAATTATCCTTCAAAACCCTCCAAATTGGGGGAACTTAAAATTAAGCATTTTGAGGGGTTTGAAGGATTACAAAAGCCCTCCAAAATCACCCCGTCCATTTTTTTAAACTCCCAAACATGAAAAAGGAGAGTTATAACCCTCCATTAACCTTCTCCCCTCAAAAACCCAACTCCCAAACACACCCTTAATAATCTATTTGAGGAGCGGGATGTTCAGCTTATTAAATGTGTTCCGATCAGCTTTAGACCCGTGCCACACAGATTATGTTGGCGTTGGAAGCTGAATTGATTGGAATCAGACAAGCCTTGAGCTGGGTTAAAGAACAAGGCTAGGATTTTTTGGATGTGGAGTCGGATTCTTCTGGGGCTATCACTCATATTATAAGGGGCTTGAGTGTATCTCCTTCAGGGATCATTGCTGGTGATATTTGAGAGATAAAAGAGAATTTTACTGATATTTCTTTCTGTCATGTTAAACGATCAACGAACAAGGCGGCTCATGAATTACCTCAAGATGCGTGTTCATTGTCTGATTGTATTTGTTGGAGTAGATCTCCCTCCTAGTTTAATTTCTCATGTACTAAACACTGATTCTATTAATGATAATTAGTCCCTCTCTTAAAAAAAAATTCATTATCTTTTACATTATTTATAATAAACTAAAATTAATTCACAATAAAATACGGAGTATGTAGTAATAAACCCTATTCATGGTTAACTAGTTCAAATGGATGGACATTTTGATAGTCCATCATTTTCTCTTAAAACTAAACGCCCAAGGTCAGACTGATCTAACACTCTCCCTTGAATTGTGAGCAGCTGAGTGTTTCATTGTTTTATATTAATGCTCTCATATTCCCTCTATATTTGTATCATTTTATCTGTCTGTTCCATTAAATTTTTCCTATATTATATGAAACCCTTGAAAAAATAGGATGAATCAAGTAATATTTGGATAATTATAATTCATTTTTACTTTAGTCACATTTTATTAATTTAATATTAATCACATAATAGCAGTTTACTCTGTATCGTCACTTTAACTCCCCCTAAAAATGATATTCCCTCTATCCCGCTAAGATTGTTCCATTTTATCTTTTTGGTCCGTTCCACTAAGATTGTCACATACTAAATTTGGTAAAGCTTGTGTTGCTATAAATCATATATATTTTATTCCGCTTTATCAATTCAATATTAACTACATAAATCACTTTTTATTAGTTTGCATGTCACACTCTCATGTCCCATTATTAGTGGGAGGAATAGAGTACTAAATGTGCGGTGACAATACTAGGAGAGCTAAAGACTGCTGGTGCCTCGGTGTTCAAAACAGGCTATCAATTAATGGGCTACGACCTATGGGCATTGATGATACGCATTCAAACAGACAATATGGCCAATAAACGTGGTCAAATTTAAAAATCTGTATCATTGGTTACACATGACAAAGTTCACCGGAACGGAGGTAGTAGTACTTAAAACTACTTAAAAGCACGGTTGTGTATTTTCCCTCATTGTTTTATCAGTAATCTATTAGTAATCGATTATCTAATCACCTATTCGATAACCATACTCTAAAGTTGTTTCTATTTGAGTTTTTAAAAGGGTAATTTGAGTTTGCACTACATTTTATTGTCCAAATTGGATTTTTCACTCCGTTTTTCAAAATTCTTTGTAATTGCAAGACAACCTTGTATGAGAAGACAAAAATGTCCCTCGATCAGGAATATGTTGAAGGCCAACATAATTGTTAATGGATGGACATTTTTGTCTTCTCATATGATGTTGGGGTGCAAGTACAAAGAATATAAAAAACGGGAAGTAAAATCCAATTTGCGTGTCATGTTTTCTGCACAGATTGAGGGGTGTAATAGACAATTATATTTTAGGATATTATTGTACCTTCCATATTGATATTGATAGTATAAATATACCATGAGGCTACCTAATTGAGTAAGTCATTATTCCCAAAATCCTATTTTCTCATAAAATAAGCCTATGTTTAGTGGCGGATCCAGGAAAACAAGGTGGTTGGCAGATTAATAAAGCATAAGAGATGAAATTTGAACCACGTCACATTTTTATATTGAACCGCATTTTTAACTCTAAAATTGGTTGAACGTAGTGAAATTGATAGAACTTTGATTGGAACGACTGAATTTCTTGAATCTGAAAAATTATGAATTGAAAAACATGCATTTAAAATATATTTTATAAAAACATAGGTAATATTATACGAAAAATTGCTAAATAGATCTCTTTAGCAAAAAAGTGATTGATTCATCAAAATCTAACTTTACTTTTTTATTATTAAACCATTCAAGACGCGATTTAATTTTATTTTATTAACCGTTTGGAAAGCAAATATTTATGTCCAAAGGTATTTATGTTGAGTATCTAATTAATTGAACTAGTATGTAACACATCCAAGGGTAACTATTTCAATACAAAAAAATTGTAATTTTATATTTTTGTACTTATTTATTATAAGAATTTCTAACTACCTAATTTCTATAAAAGAACTGTCAGGTTTTCACCTCTCCAGCTCAGACCACGCTCATACAGCACACACCAAAGCACCACCGGAAGGGACAAGAACACTCAGGCCAGCCCAGCCATCTCAACGCACGCCACAGGTCAGAAAAGGGGAAGCACAGAGAGAAGACCACAAAGGGACCGGAATGGAGAAGAGACTGGAGTCTCTCTCACTATTCTCTCGTAACCTCACTTCTCTCTCTAACCGAAGACCTCAGCGTCAACCAAAGACGAAGAGGGGCTTAAGTACCCGGGCAAGAGGGGAAGCCCTAAAGGAGGGTTCCAGAAGAAGGGCTAGCGGCAGAACAACTTGGGTCAGGGCAAGAGGTAAGCAAACAGGCCCAACAAAGTAGAAGAGGGTTGCCTTGGCCCGTGGGGCCAATACCTCCACAAGAACAATCGTCCTATATATCCATGCACAAGAAACCTCATATAACAAATCAAGTCAAAGTGAAACTCAATTCAAAAATAAAACTTCTCCTAGTAGCCCAAAGCAGAACAATGAATCTACAAACTAGCCATTACATATATCATTTTGTTACATTGTTAAATTCAGAAAAAACGAAATAACTTAATAAATAGATGTCAAAAATATAAGTTCCAAAAGAAAAAATACCTCCCGCCAACGCACAAGATGCTCAAAACGACAAATATAAGTTTTGATTTTAGAGAATAGAAGATAATAAAATAGATTTCATTGTGGATTCGTTTTGAGCCGTTTTCGTTGTTAATTCTTTCTTCAATCTTCCATTCTTATTAGTTCGAAGGTTTCAATTTTCTGAAATCCATTCCTTGGTTCTTCCCCTCTTATAGTTTTCCCATTTTTTGATCTGGGTTATGGTGGGAAAAATATTTTTTTTAATTGGGGGCAATTCGTAAATTAGTTATTATTTGGTAGTAGAATCCTTAGCATCAGTTAAGGGTTATTGGGGGCAGCTGCAAACCCCCCCCCCCCCCCCCCCCCTCCCTCCCATGGGTGTAGATTCGCCCCTATCTATGTTCATGACAAGTAATATCTATGTTTCGAATGACGCACAACTATTCGCGGTAGGAATACAATCCGTTTACAAAATGCAACTTCTTTAAACAAGTTTACGCTTTGTATGCATCTTTTGGACCTTAGATTTAAACCTCCATCACCATTTAATTTTCATTTCTATCATAAGATCACATTGTCGTCATTAGGTCTAAAACATTTAAAAAGTACACAAATTATACGACGTGAGATTGATTTTGGCTCCTTATCGACTTCGTCCACGAGACCGCAACTAATCTCATCATAAAAAGATCATTTCATCTCTTCTATTAGGGTATGTTTGACATAACTAGTTGAAAGACGATTTTGTGAACTTTTAAGTGATTGTTAGTTTTTAATGACCGAAAACATCTTAAAAGGCAAATGTGATAGTTGTTTCATAAAAGATCAATGTTTGATTTAGACCCCGTTTGGTAACGCTGGAATCGGCTGAATCGACTGATTCTACTAGAATTTATGAAGTTATGGTCGATGTGGTTGTATTGACTGATTCTGTTGATTTACGAAAAAAAAATATTTAAAATATACTTTATTAATAGAATAATGCAAAAATTATATGAAACAATAACTAAAATGGTCATCTACGGTAACTTCTTCCAATACAACCAGGAAAATAACTTCAAGCATACACTTTCTTATTATTACATATTTCAGCGCGTGAAATCAAAAGTTACGTGTTTGATTAAAAAGTTGGGCGATAAGTCAAAAAACAGAGTCACCAAACGAGCTCTTAGTTCGGATAAGTTGTTGTGACTAAGGTATGTTTGGCTCAACTAGCTAAAAGATACTTTTTTGAGCTTTTTAATACTCCCTTCGTCCCTTATAACTTTGGCATCTTTCCTTTTTTGGATGTTCCAAAAACTTTGCCACTTTCCCTTTTAATCAATGAATTTGCGGTTCCTGCCATTTCTCTCTCCTCTGCACATATCTCAACAACACAGTTTTTACTTTATTATTTCTTGTGCTGGTCAAACATGGCAAAATATTGAGGGATGGATGGAGTAACTGTTAGTTTTTAGTTACTGAAAAGATCTTAAAGAGAAAAGATGGTAGCTATTTGGTAAAAAACTGACAGTTTGATTTAGTTCGGTTTAGTATACAAGCTGTTAGGACTAAATAATACTTCGTACTAAAAGTCACGAGCTTTTTTCAGATGTTACTCCCTGTAGCATTTCAAAAAAGATCTTTTAATTTTTAAAAAGCTCTTAAAAATTGTCATTCCAAACATATAACTAGAAGCTTTTAGATATTTTTTGAACAGTAGAAAAACTAAAAGGTAGAGACTTATGCCTGCCAAATATAACCTAATTAATGCTAAAAGTTCAGACTTTTCTCAAATGCTAAAAATGATCTCTTATTTTGAAGAAACTCATAAAAATTGTCGTGTGAAACGTACAATTACTTCATGATTTTTATATAACCCCACCACCTATTCATGATCTTATTATTAATGTTATTATTAATGGAATGAAGGGAGGTAATACTATTTGAGAAAGGCTCCTATAATATACCAAAAATAAGTTAAATTCAGAAAAAACATATTTAAAGGCAAATAATTGAAATGGGATAGAATGGTCAGGTGTAAACTAGTTTCGGATTTATTGTCAACTATAGTTTTGGATTTTAGTGGTAAAATCAAATAAATGCATGGATTTTTTAATTTTTTGAAATTTGGAGCATCTGTATAAATGCCATCAAGAAACTACCCAGAAACAGTAGAGCCCCGATGACTACTCAGAAACACAGCTCAACACAAAAGGCAAGGAAGAATCTAATTCAACCCCGAATCTGACCTATAGACACACTCGCCCATTATTCCTTACGAATTTAAAGATCGAAGAAGAGGAGACGTTACTCGTTTTGCGCATTGGATTTGGCGTTCTTGTTTGTTTCATTGTATACAGAGAGGGAGACGGAAGCCAGCGGCGATGCAGAAGAGGAGGCGGAGGACGGTGGTGGTATTGCGGCAGGTGCTAACATGCGCCATATGCGCAATAGCCCTTGTAGCGCTGTTTTCCGTACATGTTCGAATGACATTCCCATCCTCAGGAGTAACCAAGCTCCCCACGGTAACTTCCCATCTCCTTTCTCTTCCGAACTCTCCATTGATTTCTCATTTCTTGACTCTGTTTCTCGCTAGGGCTTCTTCTTTTTTCAGCATCTTGAAAGCAGGCATTTTGTCTTAGTCGGTTAGTTTTAGTTTTCCAGAAACTTCGAGATTGATGCAGATTTTAGGATTCCAATCTGTATTAGTTCGTTTTCCCCTGTGGTTAGTCTATTTTCTCTAAATCTTTATCACCTTATTAGCTTTTATGTAAGAACAATTAGAGCCATTTTATATGCAATGTCTGGACGCCTTTATTTAGCTATCCAATAACCAGTTCTTGTTTATATAATTATTGAGATTTGATCATGATCCGGTTGTTTACTGTTGTAGCTATATGAATTTGGGTACCAAAGACTGAGCAGGGAACGAAGTTGGACTCAAGAAATTTTCCCATCCAAATTGTCAAAAGTTCCCCTACCTGCTAGCAAGGTTATATTATTTTTCCACTATCTTGTGATTGAAGTTTGTATTATGTATTTGGATTATTTATGCACAGTAGTTAATTGTAAGTGTGATGTGCCGATTATGTGAATATTTCTGTTAGAGCTGTCTTAGATTGCCATTTATTTGGTGAATATATAGGTTTGGCATTCGGATGGTTCAAACAGGAGTTCAAATTTGGACAAGTTATGGAGGCCTCCACCAAACAGAAACTATGTTCCTTGTGTTGCACCAAGCTCATTGTACACACGTGAGGATCTTTTTTTGCCCGATTAAAACTTTGATCCTGATCTTCATCTTCTGTTTTAAATTTTATTGAAATACAATGTGTGTTTTTTCTAACTTTTCATATCTATATAATTTTATCTTCAGCTCCTCGAGAGTCCCAGGGCTACCTGCTGGTTCATACTAATGGGGGACTTAATCAGATGAGAGCCGGGGTTTGTCATTTCATGCCCTCTCTCTTTTTCATTTAAGTTCATGCTATTATATTTGATCATTGATGCCAGTTTTATCTTTACTTTTTTCAATTTGATTGGTACTCAATGTTCACAATTTGTTGCATGCAGATATGTGATATGGTTGCTGTTGCCCGTATTATAAATGCTACTCTTGTAATTCCGGAGCTTGATAAACGATCGTTTTGGCTGGATTCTAGGTTTTCTATGTTCTTGAACATATCACTTAATGTCTTCTTTTGTCGGGGATTAGATGGATGCGGGGGTGGGGGATATCTTCTGTAACTAGTTTATCTCTATTTGTTTTATGAGACTAGAAAATAACTACCTATAAATGGTACGGAGTACATGTTTAGCTAAATCATACTCTGTATAATTATATATCAATTTTCATCTTCTTTTAATCACTAAGTGTCTAAAAGTAAGAATTAATCAATAGAATTAATATCACCCTCCCTCCCCTTTCCTCACCTCCGGATTCCCCAAACCTAACAAGGGCTTATTTTCATATGTGCTTTCTTTTAACTTCTCCACTTCTTGCTCGCAGCAACTTTTCTGATGTTTTTGATGAAGACCATTTCATCAATTCTTTGGCAAATGACGTAACAATAATAAAAAAGCTACCTGCAGAACTGGCAAGTGCAACTAGAGCTGTTAAGCATTTCAGGAGTTGGTCAGGTATGGATTATTATGAAGAAGAAATAGGCAGCATGTGGAAGGACTATAAGGTCATTCGGGCAGCTAAGTCTGATTCAAGGTTAGCTAACAATAATCTGCCAGCTGACATTCAAAAATTGAGGTGCCGAGCTTGTTACCAATCCCTTCGTTTCGCTCCTCATATTGAGGCAATGGGAAAGGTGACTTATTTTACCGTCACTTTTCTTAATTGGCTTTTTCAAGTGTGCTATGGTTATTAATTATTTCAGATCTATATGCAGTTGTTGGTGGATCGAATGAGATCATATGGTCCTTATATTGCTTTACATTTGAGATATGAAAAAGACATGCTTGCCTTTAGTGGATGTACCCATGATTTATCCCCAGAAGAAGCTGAGGAATTAAAGGGAATCAGGTTGGTGTATAATGAATGTAATTGAGTGTCAGGATTTTTATCCATTCAATTATGTTCTCTCTCCATCTCAGAAAGCTGGGTTTCGACATTTTTAATACTACGTATAATATACAATTCTATTAAGGAAAAGTAACTTTAAATGAGGGGGTGTTTGGAACTAATTCTGCTTCTGCTTCTTTTTTAAAGTAGAAGCAAAATCAGAATCATTTTATAAAAGATAGTCTCCCCCCAGCTTCTAAAAAAGCTGCTTCTAGGGGTAAATTAGAGCACCAAATGTACTTCTGCACTTTCACCCAAACACTCTAACTTCTCCAACTTCTGCTCCTTCACAAGGAGCAGAAGCAGTTTTAAGAATCAGATCCAAACACCCCCTAATACTAACTGTCTCCCATGAACCAATAATAATATGTTCTTAGAAATAATTTTTAATAATACAAAGTATTTAAATGTATAAGAAAAATAGTATGGAATCTCTTTCTGACTATCAATCCAATCATTTGTCAACATAAAAAATGATATCCAACAATCAAATACTAGTTATCTCGAAATGGGGTCACGTATTCGACATTTTGATATACTTTTTGATTATTCAAATAATAGTTATCTCAAAATGGGGAAATTAGTTATATAGTACCTCCGTCCCGCTATGATTGTCCCATTTTACCTTATCGGTCCGTCCCAATAAGATTGTCCCATACCAAATTTGGTAAAGTTTGTGTGGCTGTAAATCATTCTTACTTTATTCTTACTTTATCAATTCAATATCAACCACACAAATCACTTTTTATTAATTTGCGTGTCCCTCCCTTTTGTCCAATTGTTAGCGGGACGGAGGGAGTGTCACTCTTGTCAAATAATCAAATAGTTGGTATTATTAAAAATCATTTCCAAAGTACGTATTATTATTGATTTATGGGTTATAGACTTATAGTTTTGTATTATTTACAGTTATTATCGCTTTTATTAATATGCGTGGTATAAGTGTATAACACTATATATTTTTACATTTCTCCATCTCAGAAGTTTTTATTTAGAATATATAATTTTATTTTTCTTATATTCAGGGAGAACACAACGTGGTGGAAAGTGAAAGACATTGACCCTGAAGAACACAGAGCCAAAGGCTATTGCCCATTAACCCCAAAGGAGGTTGGTATGTTCCTTTCAGCTCTGGGATTTCCATCAATAACTCCCATATACATTGCTGCCGGGGAGATATATGGGGGTGAATCCCGCATGGCTGATCTACGGTCACGCTTTCCCTTAATAATGAATAAGGAGAAGTTGGCATCACCTGCGGAGCTTGAACCATTTGTGAATCATGCATCTCAGATGGCTGCAGTTGACTACATAGTTTCAGTTGAGAGTGACATATTTGTCCCTTCCTACTCTGGTAATATGGCAAGGGCAGTCGAGGGTCATCGTCGATTCCTAGGACATAGGAAAACTATTTCTCCCGATAGGTAAGTTCCTTTTTTGTTTTCTTTTGTTTACCGAGATTTTCCATTTTATAAAGCGTTCAATTATTTTCCAGGAAAGTACTTGTCCGTCTTTTTGACAAAGTTCAGATGGGGAATATGAAAGAAGGCAGAAATCTTTCGGAACGTGTCATTGAAATCCACAAAAGAAGGTATTCTTTAATTAGATGTGGAGTTTATATAATATGGAGCATATAAATTGCAATGTATTCATGAGCTGTGAAAATGCTGGTTGGGTTGGATTCAGGCAAGGGTCACCAAGGAAGAGAAAGGGGCCGATATCGGGAACAAAGGGAATGGACAGGTTCCGCTCGGAGGAGGCTTTTTATGTGAATCCTCTACCAGACTGTCTTTGTCTCAAGGAGCCACAGCCAACACATATAAACTATTCCCATCCTACTCTAACACAATAGTTGAGACTCGAAATCTTTGTAAATTTCCTTTCTTAACTCGGAGGTGTATATATACATATACTGGGGACATATACTGGGGGCATCTTAATTATATCAGAGCGATTGGCAAGCAGTAGTTTTGATGGAGACTTGGTCTGCAAGAAGATGACGTGTACATAGGAAAAGAGATGCGCAGTTGTTATGACCAGGTTGTTTTGCTTGGGGTCTAGCCTATGGCACTGATTGTGTACATACTTGCACAACACATATTCCCCTGACAGCAGCAATGTACATTTATCAAACTGCTTTTTGTTACTTCTTTATTTTGGCAGTGTGTTTATTGCTTTTTTTGGCCATATTTTGAACAGATTTATAGAAAAACAGTTTTGTATAGACTTGGTCCAAATATATGTATTTACATCCTTTTGTTTCTAGCTGATTTCTGTTTATACTTTATACTCAAATTAGATTACTGATTCTGCAATTCTCATAGTACTTATCAATGCGTTCATGAACATATCCAGATGATTTGGAATCTGCACTGTGACATAGAGATGAAACCATCACAACCTCACATGGTCCTAGTTCTGAAAATAGACATTATGCAGATAGTTTTGAACCGGTCAAATTCTGACGGCCATTTGTTTGTTCTTTGCTATTTTTCCAGTACCAAAACACCCTGAACTAACTATGAAATACCAAAGAGGTTCTAGTCTTCTAGAATGATTTGAACACAATTGTTTGGGAGGCAAAACCACCAAATCAAACCTGCTGCTACTGCTTCTAATAAAGATAATAATTGCAAAGACCAAAGATCCTGTAATGTAGCATAAGTAGGCTTGGACTCGGTTCGGGCCACCTGGCCTGTGACCCGGCCTGGCCCGCTACTGTGCGGGCCCGGGACCGGCCCGGTCTGGCGGTCCGGGACCGGGTGGAGACCCGAACTTGGGGGGGGGGGGGGGGGGGGGGACGGGCTCGGTTCAGGGAAAGTGCGACCCGGCCGGGTCGGGTTCAACGGTCAAATGCCAAATTTAAAAAAAAAAATGGATTTGGGCCACAAGTAGCCATTGGAGGGTGGGCTGGGGACTACCCAAACGGCTATATAGCCATTGGGTGGGCTGGAGGGGGGGGTCCCGGCAGTCTGGGGGTGGGGGGTGGGGTAAAAAAAACTATAAATACTCCTAATCTTAAACATTTTGGTAATTTCTCATACAATGATGCACAAAATTTGACAGCTATGGCTAACTTGTTGAAAAAAAATTGCCTTATTTGTTTTCTGAAAGTCTTGCTTTTCGTGATTATGCATAAACTTGTTTAAATCCTCAATATAGAGTTTATAGTCGCAAAACGGTTAAGAAAGAAGTTTCAATGCTTTATGGTGCGGAAAAGGTAAAGTTACAAAATTATTTTACAAACTTTGATGAGCGTGTTACTGTATGTTCTGACATATGGGAGGATACTTATCACTAGGGGTGGGCGAAAAAAACCGTAACCGATTAACCGCGGTAAATAATCGAAAAACCGGTGTTTGTTTTGGTTAACCATACCGTGTTTTTTAAATCTTGCGGGACGGTTAACCAACCGGTAGAAAAAACGTTTTACTATACGGTTACGGTTTTGAAATTAAATACCGCCGGTTAACCGCTAATCCAAAGTTAATATATTGCTCCCAAATTTATACATACATTTTGCTTATTTATCCAATGTGAGTTCATAAAACTCCCTGTATTATATTCAATATTAACTCCTTGTCCATATTTATTTACAAATTTACGGAGTATATATATGGTATTGCATCTTAGATTTAATACTTAATTTTATTTTCGGATTTTATATTTAAAATTTCATTTTAGATTCAAAGAATATGGTATTGCATCTTACAAGAAATTTTCTCAACTTTCTGAAATGTATGTTTCAAATCTAACTTTTTTAGTTATACACTACGAGACAGTACGAGTACATATTGAATCACAGTTGAAGCATATTACGTACTCCGTATAAATTCTTCGTAATACGTACTCCGTATGTAGTATTATATATTGTAGTAAACTTCCAGAAAACCACAATACTGCATATACGTAATTTACTACGTCTGTAACGTAATTTAGTATAGGACGTTATTCATACGGCAATATTAAAACGAACCTAGTTAGTAGTTTATTCATATACTTTGTATATACGGTTTTTTGGTTAACCGATTAACGGTTAACCTATGAGATGGTTAATTGTTACCCGGTTAACCGTCATTATGGTACGGTTACTGATATCATAAACATATTAACCGATATTTCGGTTAACCATAAATTGGTTAACCGAAATACGGTTAACCAACCATGCCCACTCCTACTTATCACAATTTACATTATTTGGGTTTGACTATACATTATATTGATAATGATTGGAATATGCATAAACGTGTTCTTGCTTTTCGCGAATTTAATGATCGTCACACCGCTGAACATATTTATATTTTGATTGAGTATATTTTAATTGAGTATTATTTAATTGATAAGGTGTTTGCTATTGGTTTTGATAATGCTACTAATAATACTGCTGCTATTCCTAGATTGCGTGAATTGTGTGGTTCTACTTCTTTGATGAGTAGATTTTTTCATCAACGATGTGCATGTCATGTTATTAATTTATGTGTGCAAGATGGTCTAAAAGTGTTAGTAGCATCTTTGGAGGTAGTCAATGGGGAGATTAGAAGTATTTGGGGTAATGGTCAACTTAGAAAAAAATGGCATGATTATTTGATTGAAAGAGATGAAAAATACGTGGCTTTTCCTAAAGATTTGTCTATTCGTTGGAATAGTACATATAAGTTAAATGCATTTCTTCTTAGATATAAACAACATTTTCCTGCTTTTATGAAACAATATGATAATTATATTATAAACTCGGCTGAGATCGACACCTGCGGAAAAATTTGTAATGCTTTGGTATATTTTAATAATGCAACTGAAACTTTTAGTCATGTTTAAAAACCTACCTCAAACCAATTTATTCGTGAAGCTGTTAATCTCGCCGATGCTTTTTCAAATTTTGAGAATGCTGATTATGTGAGTTATTTTGCTAGTTTTTTGAAGGAAAAGTTTTTAAAATATTATTCACATATTACGCATATTTATGGTATTGCATTTGTTCTCGATCCTCGTTTTAGACTTGGTTCTTTAGAAGAATGTTTGAATTATTATTATGCTTCTTTTTTTGGTCCAATGCCAATGTATGACGACAATCCAATTGATCCGAAAAAAGAATACGAGGTTAGTGATATATTTTATGCATTATTTAATGAATTTCATGCATAATATGGCAACGCGCCCCCTCCCCGGACACAAACCTCTTCGTTTAAAGGAATATCTATTTTGAAATCTACATTTATCAATCTTATTAAAAAAACTAAAACAACACCCGCTACTCAACAAAGCACAATTAATGAGATTTTTTTGTATTTAACTTATGATGTTGATTTTGAAGAAGGTGATGACTTTGACGTTCTAAACTGGCGGAAGGGAAAAGAAAGAATGTTCCCGATTTTAGCAAAGATGGCTAAGCAAGTGCTATTAATGCCGGTTTCAACAGTTGCCGTCGAACAAGAATTTAGTTCGGCCGGCAATATCCTAACGCAATGTAGAACGAGGTTGAGCGCAGAATCTCTTGAGATGCTTATATGCTACCACGATTGGTTGAAGGCAGCCCATAGAGGCATAGAGCTCAAGAAATTGACATCACCACATCCCAACACTTTATGGATGAATCTACAACCGAGGGTGGCTCTACCTATTACGGAGATTCCGATTGATTAGTATTTCACTATTTCACTATTTCATGTTTTAATTTTACCATCAATTGTAACTTGTAAACTTGTAGTTCATGTTTCAATTTTTCAAATAAATATACGTTCATTTTTTATATATGTTGCATTTTTTTTATATGTTTCAAAAATTTCTATAAATACTCGTATTTTCTAACATTTTTATACAAATCTTCTCCAATTTCCACATTTTATAATATTTTTATACACATTTTTATAAAACTATAAAGTATAAATTAAAATGAATTTATAGTATAAATTTAAAAAAAATGTATTTAATCGGCCCGGCCCGGCGTGTGGCCCGACCCGTGACCCAGGCGGGTTGCCCGGCCTGAATCGGAACCGCCTTTACCTTTACCGTGGGCCGGTCCCGGGCCCTCTTTTCACAAACCGCCGGCCCGGGCCTGAACCAGCCCGAGTCCAAGTCTAAGCATAAGTGGAAGAATGTAAACACCCAAATAAACGACTAGGTACTGAGCTCCTTTAATGTAACATAACTAGAAGTATGTACACACAAAACTAAACAACTAGGTTATGAGTTGAGGACTGCATCTCAGCCGAAATTTTTTATAAAAAGAATTATAGTAATAGTAGTAAAATGGTAAAAGCATCAAAATTTAATGAGGAAATTGGCACTCCTCATATGAGAATGAAATCTCTATAGGACATAAAAAAAATACTCAATACAGATCTGTTCTTTTTTCCTAAATTATGCTGGCCCAACTGGTATTCAAATATCTCAAATCCAACTCCCTACTTCATTATAGGTGTGATTACATGACGGCCACCCATGAAAGGATGTAAGGGGTCTGGAATAATAACAGAGCCATCTTCTTGCTGATAATTCTCAAGCAAGCAAACAATCATGCGCGGAACTGCACATGCTGTGGCATTAAGCGTGTGAACGAATTGCGGGGGAGCCATACTTTTTCCCTTCTTTGAACTAGTAACTGATGATGATAACGATTCTGGGCGATACCTTATTCCCAGTCTTCTGCTCTGATAGTCAGTACAATTTGATGCACTCGATATCTGTTCAAGACCATAACAAAAAAAAACTATACTCAGGTGCATACTTTAAACCATTCAGTTCATTCCAGTTTAAAACCAGGAGAGCAGGTGTTGCATAAACATGACTGTGAATTGATGGGGGCATGTTCTATAGAGCACTAGAACACCTGGATCTAATGCCTAGATGGGACCAAAATAAGAAAATCACCAGAGGAAGTCAAGCGAAGCTTAACATCTAGGTGGGGCCTACTGGCCTGGGGATAGTAACTTGACAGGATCCATTATATAACTGTATGAAACCACACCAACTCTAGTGGAGAACTATTTACTGTGCAGAAAATACTCATCAACTTTGTAGGGATACAGTTTCTATTTACTGCGGCGTTTGCCAATCTGCACCAATATATATTTCTATAAAGATGATGAATGGTTATCATTAGGGAAACTACTTCTATGGGGTGGGAAAGGTTTTGGGCATAGCTGCCTTATTTTCACCTCTAGTGGGTGAAGCCAGGGAGTTGAAGAACAATGACACAGACACAACTTTATGTAGTTAGCAATATACTCCGTCTTATGACTCCACATCAATGCCTCAATGAAATCCGATTGTAACTTACCTCGCCATAGCGGGCCAGACCAGGCATCCATGCCTCTACATCAAATTTACGAAAAGCGGGTGCACCTAAATCCTCTGATGCCATCTCCATTGTTCTGCATCAAAGTGGGTTTTACAAGGTTGAAACATCATAGGAGATGTCTTTCTTCATCGTACCTTTCTAGTACTATTTCCGCCCCATTTTATGTGTCTTGTTTTTTTATTTGGCACAATTATAAATAGTGGTTGAAAAAGTAAAAGTTGTGGTTGGGATTTAAGTACTAAAAAGTTAAATGATGTGGACCACATATTTCTTTCCAAAAAAGGAAGTAAGACAGGTAAAATGGGTTTGAAGGAGTAATTAATTGTATGTACAATAAGAAGGAACTGCGATGATAAGTACCTAAAATGAAGTCCCAAAGACCTGAAAAGCTCTTCTTCAATTTCAATAAGCTCTTCGTGATAAGCATCACTTTCCTCTGGACGGCACAATATGAACATTTCCACCTTACTGAACTGGTGTACTCGATAAAGACCCCTACTCAAAGAACATATATTATGCACCTGAAGTCAGTTTAATTGTATGGAAAATTTAAGTATTCCAATATTATTTAAATTTAACCCAAAGAATAAAAAACCACATCTCAACAGTTCCCAAAGCTATAGAGAGAAAGATAAGTACGCTTTTGGTAAGGGTGGTTTCGCTGAAATTGCCGAATATGTTGAATTTTCAATAAGAAAAAGCATTTGGCAAAACTGGTCTTAGTTAAATAAGTAACTCAAAAGCTATTTGTTATTTTTCTTGTTCTGCGAAATATAAGCAAGGTAAAATAATGCAACCAAATGGGGCCAGAATATTATTGATTGCTGTTAAGAAAAAGGTCAGTTACCTGGTTGCAGTGCCCGCAGCACCAGCCTCTGTGCGGAAACAATGGGAGAACGCTACATACTTCAGTGGCAATGATGAGTCAAGAAGTATGGAATCCATATGGATTCCCCCCACTGGAATCTCAGCTGTGCCAATGAGGCATTGATCGCTGTTCTCGATGGAGTAAACCTGTGTGCGTTTTGCAAGGAAAATAATGACGATTTCAATCACCAGTGGACCAATTTAGTATCTAGCTTTGAAAAAGGTGAAATGAAGATGTTTATGGCTACATTTTTACAAACCTGAGTGGTAGTTCCACGAGGCTGGAAGCCACACTTTTCAATAAGAGAAGACCGGACAATTTCTGGGGTAGTCAGTGGCACAAAGCCTCTTTTCATTACTTCTGAGAGAGTCCAATTCACGAGACCCATTTCTAACATAACTGCTTCATTCTTTAAGTAATAAAACTTTGAGCCACTGACCTATCACGATCAAACAAAACATATTCTTTAACAGAAAGTAGAACTTATCCTTGTAATAGCACTTGGGTGTAATTTGGTTGACCATAATGACATGTTATCTGATGTTAAATAAATACTCCAGTATTCATTTTAATTTCTTCACCTTCCTTTTTTGGTCCGTCCTTGACTAAACTTCTTGTTTCGTTTAAGGAAAAAAAGTGTGGTTGATATTGATTTTTTTCCTTTCCTAAATAAATTTCAATATAAGGTTTCATTTTCTTAAATTTCGTGTGATGTCAGAGTAGGAAGATTAATATAGTGAAGGGAGTCTGTTTTAGTGTGAAATTTACATTTTCAGTCATTTTCATTCCATTACACTTAAGTTCCTTACTACATGACTAGACCTCTGTTCTTACTACATCTTGCCAAACTGCACATCTGTTTGTGCTACATGATTACACATGTCAGAAAAAATTGTAGAAAAACTGGCAGAAAATTACAAAATACCTCAGCAGCTGCATCAAAATCAAACAAATCCAATTCCTTGCCGAGTTGGACATGATCCTTCACAGGGAAACCAAACTCACGCGGTTTAGAAACCTATACAAAAAAGTTAATTGATATTAAGATAAAAAAATGACCATTTCCATAAATATGCAAGAAACAAGAAACTAGTACTCCTAGGTTCAGAGATAAAGCACCATTTTCCGAACAGTTGAAGAATCATCTCCTCCTATAGGCACATCTGGATGTGTCATATTTGGTATAGAATGGGCTTCTTGGTGAAGCTCATCTGAGAGCTTCGCAAGGTTTTCTTCCAGATTAACAAGCGCATCCTTCAAATTTTTACCTTTAAAAAATTACAAGTAGAAAAGGCTAAAGAGTATTACAGATTTACAAGAAAAGGGTTAAAGTTGGACATGCTGTTATATAAACCTTCTTCTATGAGTTTTTGGCGCTCAGTAGGTTCCAGCTTTCCTTTCATCTTGTTTGCAACAACATTCCTCTCTGCACGAAGCCTTTCAACTTCCTGCTATCTGTCACTAACAATTAGTTACACTTGAGAAAATAGGTCCAAAACTAGACATACACGATTAATCAGTTGGAATGAATACAATGCACTGCAATACTATCAAGTATCAACCTAACCTTCTGAACATCGAGTAAACGCTGGTACAGCTCTAGAACAAGCCCCAAATTCGCAGTGGAGTTTCGGTTCCTAATATTCACTGCCACAGAATCCTTGTTCTCCCTAATCCACTTGAAATCTATCGCGGCTTTCCACTGATGCGGCTTTGCAGCTAAGGTCGCCAAAATCCAATCTTTAGTCAAATAGCAAAAAAATTATACACAAAAAGGATGAGGAAAATGAAAAAGAATGAAACTTTACTGTCTCTGGATGCGGTGGGAGCACCGGCGGCTGTGGATTGGTCCGCAGCGGCGGAAACAGATAGAGCTCTGATCAAGAGAGGGACTAGGCGTACGGGCACGGTTTTAGGATGCAGTCTGAATAGGGAGAGAGAAGGGGCAGCAGTGAACTTCAAGGATTTGAAGGTTGATGAGGTGAGGCAATGTTGAAGCGCCATGGATGGTAAGCGTTTTGCCTTGTCCTCCCCACCAACCTGCAATGAGAAAAGAGAACAGAATGGGCAAAGGGCTTATCTTCAAGAAATCAAGAATTGGAGTTAGGCGCTCTTATTCTTTTAAATATTATTCGTTACTCTTTCTTATTTTAAGGAAACTGTGATCAATTCAAATCAAGATAGTTAGATTAGTTCAAATCACAATGTGCATACATATGATGAATGTATTTTATACTCTTATGTTAGCTTTTATAAATATAATTCTCAAAAGTTTATACAATGAGATAGGTGATATATTGACATTTTATTCATAAAAGTTATATTTTCAGGAAATAATATGATTGTTACATTGATAATATCATATACACCCGGTTATCTATAATAATAATGTTTCATTGCTATTAGTATGAAGTAGCAAACTTATATGGTATTCTATACTATCTCTACAATCTTATAAGAGTGAATGAGAGTAAGAGTTGTTTGGGTATATGAAATGTGTTGGTGGTACAGTATAGCTAGATTCAATTGTACATTCATTTTAAAACATTGTACCCCTTAAATTATATTCTAACTTTTCTAATTTTCTTCCGTTAGTCTTCACCTCTTTAAACTTCCATTAACTTTTCATTTCTCATTTGTTGCTAACAACTTCAATTGGGTTCTAACAGAGCTAATTTTACCCAATTGAATTGTTTGCTTTAATTTCTTATTATTACCCTTTTTCCCTTTTTCTTGTTATTTTCACCCTTCCCCCAATCAGCCGCTGGTTATAGATCCTCGGAATTATGGAATTTCGACCATCCGTGGAAATCAGCTTATAATATGACCTGTCAGCTTGTAGAACAGAAGTCTTGACCTTCGAAGTCCTTGGCTTGTTTATCCGGAGTATTTAACTGTATTTTTATCTACATTCATTTTATAAAAATTCCACCAAATTATATACGGAGTACTACATATGTCCCAATTAATTTGCAAAATTGACTTTTTTTATCGAACAGTTTCATTTCATTCACTTAATTTGGATGCTAATTTTTAATTATATTCTAATTTTGGAGTTAGCAACTTTGAAGATATTTTAATGTAGTTCCCAAATATGTAAATTTTAATTATTAAAAATTCAGTTAATTAACAATAGAAAGGATTTAACTTTAACAGTGATTGACCAAAAACTGTTGACTTTGCAAATCAATTTGGAACAAATGTTTACAACAATTCTCTTACGGTAAAAAATGTGAAACCAGACATGCTATTTGAAATAATGTAGGGATTCATATGTTTTGTATGTTTGTTAGTCAATTAGAATTATGTGGAGACAAACTTTTTCTCACAACCCAGTAAATAGTCTTAAATGGTTACTGAGCAAGTCCGTTAGAATGCAAGCTTGAAAATTTAGGATTTAATTAATAAAGCAGCAAAACTAAGGCATAGATAACTTTCCCTCAGTTTTGTTATCAATTCATTGCTAAAATTAACATTTAACTGCACCAATTTAACTACACCTACTAGAATAGTAATATCACTGATGGTACTAATAACAATATTACAAATAACAACAATAATAATTTTTTAAAATATTTGGTCTGATTTAAATGTTTTTGATCTAATCTGAATATTATTACCACCTCCGTGTCACTAACACTGGGACATGATGATGCGGTACGGTTATTAAGAAAATGAGTTTATGTGATTGATGTTGAATTAATAAAGTAAGAATAAATAATAATGATTTAGAATCGCAAAACTTTACCAAGTTTGATACAGGGTATGATACAATCTTAATAAAATGGATCGAAGAGGAAAGATGAGCCAATCACTAACATTTTTTCAGTAAATTTGAGTGGGCTCATAGCTGACTTAGGCCCTCGTGCCTACGCCCCTGCTTCATGGATCCCACTCTAACCATGGACGGCATCTGGACGTTTTAAACGGAAGTATGATTACAACTTTCTGAATTACTGGTTGATCAGTAGTTAGTGATGATTACCCACCCTCATGACCCATGAATTTGGAACCGGACTTGGGGTACACACTTGTGTATACACTCTTACACACTCGTGTCTGTGTAGGCGTTTTTTTGTTTGTCCCAGACAATGTATTTGACAAATACGTTTTGTCTGGGACAGAAAAAAACGTCTACACAGACACGAGTGTGTAAGAGTGTGAACACAAAGTGTGTACCTTTAGATTTTTTCATCATTTTGTACAAATCATGATTTAAATAATTTGTGTGCTTTCAATCATTTTCAAACATTACTTCTCTTCATTTTATGCTTTCAATCATGAATTGATTACATTGCAACCTAATATATGCAATTCCTTTCATTAATTATTAGTGTTCAAGCGGCTAGCATTACTTCTTCTTTCATTGAAAATAGCTAGCATTACTTCTATGCACAAGTTTATAATTAAGAAACAAATTCACATATTAGCATTATAGATAACAATGAAAAAATGTATACTTGATCAGTGTTTTCAATTTTATCTATATGTTTCTTTTATAACGTTGTTTAGAGATATTATTTTCGATGGCGTAGTGTCGTCTTCCAAATTTATATTCACCGTCATCTTCGATCGGGCGTTCATGTGTGCTAATAAGAGGTTTGCATTGATATCTTCATCAATCGAGAATATGATTTTCATCTGCGATGATATTGTAACGAATCACCCCCTCCTGAACCACCGTTGTTCCAAGAAGTTGAGATCACATGGATTGGTTTCTTTCCGATGGCTGGCAGAAGCTGAATAAATTTTACACTTGGCTCCTTGCCGGTGGCTGGACAAATCGGGATGTTTAATACGAAGTAGTTTGTTTGAGAATTATATATTGTGATCGTAGCATGAGCCGTCGACCTGAATGTAGAGTCTATTTCTTTACGAGATTAGCGATTCAGCTTTTTCAATTTGAATCGACTGTTTATATGTCTCATCTCATTGTAGCTTTGAGTTATATGATTGTAGTTGTTATTGGGCATTTTCCCGATCGCGCAACGCGCGTCAGGTAACTAGTACCTTATACAAATACGGAATATATGTTATTTGAGCATCATGTGTATTTAATAAGGTTAAAAAGGTCTAAGAAGTAAAAGATTTAGTTGCAAAATAGAAGTCTCATAGTGAAAAAAATAAAAAAAATAACATGGTGAACATCCATTCTAATTCGTTATATGAAAGTACACATGTCACAATTCATCACAATATTTATACTCCTTTCGTTCACTTCAGTCCATTCTAAGACATCTTTTTCAGAAATTAATAGCCCAATTACTTGGTGTAAGAAAAGTTTAAAGGCTAGAATCATATGATGAGAAAATAATAGTAACCACAATATGAACGTGCAGCTTTCTTCAAGGTGATTCACCTAGTGACTTTTGGGGTTTAGCCTCAAGCCCTCACTAATATAATATACTCTCCGTCCCATTGGACTTTGTCATCTTTCCTTTTTTGGTTGTCCCAAAAAATTTTGCCACTTTCCCATTAAAGTAACTATTTTGTGGTTCTACTCATTTCTCTCTCCTCTGCACAAACTTCAACCACACAATTTTTACTATTCTTATTTCTCACCTAACTTAAGGAGTGCAAAGTCCAATGCGACAGAGGTAATAATAATGAAGGGGTGCTTCACCCTCTTAGGGTGGCTGACAAAGTCTTAACCATTGACAACAACTAAAGGTGACCCCTGTTGTTCGGACCATCGTTGGATCCCACCGGCGCTTGATGTGGTCCGTATTCATGTGGATGCTGTCCTTTTTCTTCGTTATCGAAAAATGGGCGTAGGGATTGTGATTCGGGACCACACAGGGCATTGTTTGCTTGCTTGCAATGAACTTTTTGATAAAGTCACTATCCCCGCACTTGCTGAAGCTTTGGCTGTCCAGCATGCGCTCAACCAGTCAACCTTGCTCGGGCCGAGGGTTTCCAGAAAATTAGTGTTGCTTTTGATTGTCTTTCTGTCATCCAATGTGTGCAAGCCAGTGGAAGGGATCGCTCGGTGCTTGAGCCTGTTATTGCTGACATTAAAATTCTTGCTAGTAGCTTTCTTGTTTGTTCTTTTAAGCATGTAAAACGTGTGATGAATATGGCAGCACATACTTTAGCTCGGTCTTCTGAGTTTAGTTGTGATCGGGTTTATCATGTTGTAACCCCGGAGTGTATCCGGGAAGTACTTTGTAATGATCTTACTTAATCTATGATATGCAGTTTGTAACACCCCGGCCCCGTAGGCCCCGAGGTAGTTACTTCGGACCTCTAGTACTGTCCTCACAAACCGTCACTAACCTTTTCCGCGCATTTTGTCCTCACTCGTGCGCGCCCTGAGAAATTTTCCAAGAGGTCACCCATCCCAAGACTACTCTCGTGCAAGCACATTTAACTTTGGAGTTATTAGCTAATGAGCTTCCTTAAAAGGAGATACACCTTGTTGGTATGAGTAGTACTATTAATCCGTTTAAATTAAATCTCAAGTATCACAATGCAGTTTAAATAAAAAAAATATAATATTCGGGCTCTTCCCCAAAATGATTAGGCTCCACCCGTTTACAAGTCGAGTGATCAATGTCATGAATCCTCTGGAAACAGTACATTCCTCTCCTTCATCGGACAAAACTCTTCTGTTTGCCGGTCAAACCTTAAACAAGAAATTCATACTTGTAATTAGGGGTGGACTGGGTTGGTTCGGCCCGACCCAGTACCTGGCCCAGCCCGTTACTGTGCGGGATCGGAACGGCTGACCAGGACCGGACCGGCTGACCGGGACCGAGACTGGGGGCCCGAACCGGGGGTATTAGGGGCGGGCTTCGGGCTGCTGAAAAGGTGGACTGGCCTGGCCGGTCCGGGCACTTTTTTTCCCCATTTTAAGGGCTGCTAGGCAGGCAGGGCTGGGTGGTTTGGGAGGGGGGGTTGGGGGTGGGGGTAGGACCCAACCTCGGCCCGACCCGACCAAGGCCCGGCCCTGTCCCGGTACAAACCCAGGCCTGGCCCGGTCCCGGTACAAACCCGGGCCGGTACCGGACCTGTAACCCAAAAACCCAGGCCCACCAAATCCCAGCCCGGCCCAGTACATCCCTACTTGTAATCGATTGACCAGTTGTTGAACTTGCCGCCTTTGGGCAAG